ACTTGTGGAAAAAGTAATAATTTGATAACTTGAAATACAATTTTAAATAACTATAAAGAATGCCATTGATTTTTTGTACATTTTATTTTTGTTTAACTTTATTAATAAAAATAGTGCATTGTTCAATTAGCATGTTTTTGTGTTTTGCTTTGGTACCGAAATTGGTACCGAGAACCGTGGATTTTCACTGGTATTGGTACCGAATACTGAAATTTTGGTACCGTGACAACACTAGTTGGGGGGTGGGGAGGGGCGAGGTTGTGGTTAGAATGCTTGGTTGAGTGAGAGCATCAGACGAGACGACGAAGAAGAAGTGCTGCTGCAGAATTAGTGCATCAGAGAAAACGAAGAAGAAGAGCTGCTGTGCTGTAGCTTAAAATTTTCGGCATGATAAAGATACCTAATAACATTCCTATGTGTCTGGTCTTCACCAAGACCTGAAGACTAAAGGCTGATTTGGCTGTTGGCAAGCAGACCAGCATTATTAAGTTTTTTTTAATCTACTATTTATTAGGGTTGTGACGGTGAGGAAATTTTCCCACCGGTTAATCGACTTGTGACAACACCGGTAATACCAGTATCATCGTGGGGGGCAGGGGCATTCCCTCTTTTCCTCGCTTTCCTTTGCTTTTAAATAGCTTGTAAAAGCAGTGTGCGCTTTTTATTTTCACTTTCAAATAGCAGCAATTTGGCGTAAAGCAATTGTTCGTTTTTACTTCGTTTGAATTTTCCCTCTTTTCCTCGCTTTCCTTCACTTTTAAATAGCTTCAAAGCGAATTAGCAATAGTGGCAATTCGGAGTAAAGCAATTGTTCGTTTTTAGTTAGTTCCTATTTTCCTCGCTTTCCTTTGCTTTTAAATAGCTTAAAAGCGCTGTACGCATTTTACTTTCACTTTAGAATTAGCGGCAGTTAGGTGTCAATTGCTTGAATGCAATAACAAAATACAACGTCAAACTCACTTTAGCGTATATATATATAACACATAGAACTTTTATTAACAAAACAAATAAAAATACACCATGCTATAGGGCAGACTATGCCTAATATAAAATAACAAATAACTTACATAAAGTTTAAATGTACAAAACTGGAAACAAGTAAACATGTATAATATATAACCAAATAAATAAGAAACGTAGAACGTTTATTAGCAAAACGAGTAAGAAAGCTTGGAGGCACGGCATACACCTTGATGTCAAATAAAATAACTAAATGACACAAAGTTTAAATAAAGTAAAAATCAGCAAACAATGTGGAACCAATTAAATAAGAATCGAATTTAAAAAAAAAAACGTAAAAAATCACCTTAGATAAACGGCAAAAGTCAACAGGCTTTTCAAAATCCAAAATATTGCCAAACAGGCGCTTTTGCATCTCGTTTCGAAACTAAATCATCCGCTATCATCTACCAGTATCACCGCCAGCACCGTCTATCACGGCAAGCCTACTATTTATATTTTATTTCTGTTTTATTTAAATTAAAAAATACTTTTAGCTAACAACAAGAACACTGAAGAAGACACAAAACAAAATTGTAAACAAGTTCCCACATCTTTTGACTAATTTATTTTTTCTGGTCATCGTGAATACTGGCATAGCGATTTTGTTTTTAAATCGTTCTTTAAAATTGTTTCTATTAAGAGTGATATCCACTTGGCAAAATTATTTAGCTAAAGATAACAACCACAAAAATTATCATTACAAAAACCTCTATGACTAAATCACAATATTCAGTTTGTGAACCTTGTATTTGTGTGTTAGTGTTTTAATGCCATGCCAGCAAACCGTGTAAAACAATATAAGTGACAGTCATAATCATAAAAGGAGAGAAAGCACTCAAAAGTAAAAAAATAACCTTGATCACACCCAGGCTTCTCATAAAAACCTCAATATCAACATATTATGAGTCATCTGTTTATATAGGCACAATATTTGGCAATGGCCATTTCAATCCAATGAGCAGAGAAATTTAAATTTGATTGCTTTAATGGAAGAAACACAAAAACAGCTTTCTTGATGACCTAAAATGCCTCAAGCAGTCACAAAGCATGCTGGGAAAAGCCACTTTGCTCTGCAGAGCAGAACTAGGAGATGAAAGTAATATTCTGTTCCTGTTTGCTCACCTGCAGTGACAGTCAAAACAAGAAAGCGTCACACATTAACTGAAGCACATTTCCATCTAAATGAAGTCTCTTTCTATATTCATTCACATCAAATAATTCTTATGTTAAGCAATAGGTAGATCCTCACGTCAAAACTAACCAGACCACAAATAAGACGCAAGCCTATATTGTATCTCTCAAAGACAATGGAATTACAAGACTGTAAACAGTGCTGAAGAAAGCAGGTTTCTGCAGTCATGTGTGCATCAAGTGCCTCTGCGGAGCAAAAGTTCACTACACGCAACAGGACAGTGAACAGGCGTTATACAAGATTTCAAATCCTCACCGTATCAAAGGTGAACATTCATAACTCACAATTAAAAGTATTGAAAGAAAGTATGAGTATGAAGAGAAATATGTACTTATGTTGTAAATAGGCATGGGCCGGTATGAGATTTTGACGGTATGATAACCTTAAGCAAAAAAAATATCACGGTTTCACGGTATCACGGTATTGTTGTTACAGCTCTAAAATGTGTTAATTTGAAATGTCGGGGTTTAAAAAAAAAAAAAAAAAACCTGAACACAATATATTTTGAGCAACATACAGAATATTTGGAACAGTAGAATTTGTTTATTTTTTCTTTGATTTGTTTCTGAAATGTGGGCTGTCCTGCAGCTTAAACAAAAAGAAAAGTAAAACTAACGGTGACAGTGCTTGCATGTTTATTTTCCCCACAAGAATACCAGCATGTCCACCTTCTCTGGTTTACTTGACTTTCGCTAGAAAACCATCCATCATTTCCTCAATATGCCAGTCATTTTTGCTGCACGCACCATCGCGCTCGTGCTGACGCGGCTAGTATACTCTCTAAGCGCTGTTTCGTTATGCTTTCAGTTTCGTTTGCCGTTTGATGTTTCTCATATGCAACAGAAATGGCATCGCTTATGAGTTGACCAATGCGGTGGTCGCACCAGCGCGACCGCACAAAAAATTTTGTCGCACAGGCAGAAAAAATGGTCGCAGTCTGGAGCCCAGCTATATCATCTGAAGCCATTCCATATCTTAATGTGAGGGACAGAATTTAGGTTTACAGAAACTCATCTTCCTTCTGCTGCAGCTGTCAGTCATTCTCCGCTCAGCATTCAAACAGCACGTCACGTTCAGTTATGACAGTCAGCATAAAACTCTCTCTCCAAGATGATATATTCCCATTATAATACTTTACGTTTAAGGAAGGAAGGAATTATCACAAACAGAAAGATTATTAGAAGCCTTTCTTTTTCTCATGATTTCTCTTATATTCATGAATGTATTTTTGTAAAAATACAAATAGTTAACAGAATAAACAAGATTAAATTGTATAATTTGCCCAAAATATTTTTTTCAAGATATTGTTTTTGCTGCTAAATTATACAGTCAGCTAATTATAAATGAATTATTACTTCTAAGACATGATAAACAATTCAAAAAGCACTGTTCACTAACAAGAAAATAAATATATATCTGCTTAGCTAAAAATAGAGTTGTGTTATCAAACACAGTTGTTAGTTATTATTACATTTACAGAATTGACAGATACAGTTTTAGATATTAAGTTTTATTAAATAATGTATTTGATTACTACATTATTAATAATAATTAATTAGTATAGACACTGGTGTACGTGAGCTTCCAGGTTTACCATATTTGATGTGCTCTTTATATGTGCAATGATCACTGTTTATATGTGAATAAAAAAAGCATAAATAAAATCTGCCTAAATTTTCATTTTGGGTGAACTATGCACAATACATATTGTCACTATACACAGTACATATCGCAGCATTTTAGTACTGCGATATGTTGTGACAAGAATTGTGTGTGTGTGTACTGGTTTATATATCCTGGTGGGGACTTAAACCTGACTACACACAGACTCATGGGAACTCGTGTCACGGTGGGGACCTAAATTGTGGTCCCCACGGGTACAAAAGCTTATAAATCATACAGAATTAAGTTTTTTGAAAATCTAAAAATGCAGAAAGTTTCCTGTGAGGGGTAGGTTTAGGGGTAGGGTTGGTGTAGGGCAATAGAATATACGGTCTGTACAGTATAAAAACCATTACGCCTATGGAGAGTCCCCACAAGGCTAGCTGACCAGACATGTGTGTGTGTGTGTGTGTGTATAGACTGCTATCGTGGTGTCTTGAGAAGCATAAAAGAATATTGTCTCGTAGCTTTGAGCTCATATCAATGTATGTGCGATCTTAAGAGATGACTCATTTAACTGACCTGTCAATCAAGCCTCCTCGGGCCACATTATTGACTTCCTCATGAAGTCCTCCGTCTTTCAATTCTGATCTGCCCCTCCCACGATCTCTGACCACAAGCACTCAACTGAACGCCGGTGAACCCGCTACACTGATAAAAACGGGCAGGGCTTCAGAAAAGTTTTTGAAAGCGATAAAAGACGTGTAGATGCACGTTTGGAGAAGTATCACCTTACTAATCGCAATACAATCGGCGCTTTGCGACACCTCGGAGATGCGTGTGGCTGCATCACAACGGTCAAAGGATAAGCCACGAAAACAAGGAAGCCCTGCTGTAGATGGTCAAACTTCAGAGCTGCTGCTGATCAAACACACATATGGCTGTGTACGCACCCATAAAGGCCTTCTCTGTTAAACTGAACTTTTGCCGTAGGATTCGTGCTTAGAATGTGACAGATAGACAGAGAGGCCAGAGTTACTCCTTTATTATGTCGCCGAGGGAAAGATCCAGAGGAGTGGCTCAAGAGCGTCACGAGCATCGGCTAACAATCTTGACAGTTCCTCTGTATCAGTAAACCACGACCAGCTAAGTTAGCAATAGCCTATCAATAATCATATCAGTACCCAAATCAGACAGCGGTTACCTTGAGATATGAGTGCGGCGCTTTTCTCTTTCTGTCAAATCCCTGGCTGTCAGGATGAGAGAAAATGTCCCTCCTGCCGCCTGATGCGTCTCCAGTCGTCGGGCCTTGGCCTTCACTTCCGCTTTGAGGGACGAACTTCCGTAATCCGCATTCTTCCGAGGAGGAGGGGCTTGTTTTTAACATACGTTGTGGTGGCCAATAAAATCGCGGTTATATATTTTTTTAATCCAAGACCAGAGCCATAGAAAGAGAGAGTTGCGTCAACGGAAGGCCAAAACGCTCGATCGTCACGTGCATAGACATAATAAATACCTAGACGCCTCATTGGCCGCTCGACCGCACGTCAACGTCGCCGCCATATTGGTGCAGGCAACTGTCATATCGGGACCGAAGAAAACATACCTGACTCGTCGGCAGCTTGGGCATCTACAAACCGTCACACAATAATAAAAACAGATCTCGGGGTATTATCTTTCACAGGTAAGACTGAACAGTTGTTTCTGTATGTTTTTTGGTCATTCTTAGCTTTATGTTAACAGCTTAATTAGCCACCAGTCAAATGTTGGGGTTGATGACAGAGAAGCCTAACTAAATAACTGGAGGCAGAGTTATTTTTAACTCCGTGTAGATCACAAACCTCTGAAATCGGTTGATAAATGTAAACGTTATCGTGTTTTTATCCAGAAGCCAACCCTTGAGAGGACTTCAGATGAAGCTGACTCTGAATAAACATACAAAACTGCTCAATTTTCCTTGCATTGTAATCAACATGATAACATCATGTAACCATTGCTTTAATTTGTTCATTGTTTCTGTATATATTTCATTGTTTCTGAATACATGACGTTACTTAACTGCATGATTTGTATAGCCTAATTTTAGAACATTTCTGCCATATGAACATTACTTTGGCACAGTTACACCTGTTAACAGAACTCTTATTGGTAATGTTCATATGGCAGAAATGTTCTAAAATTAGGCTATACAAATCATGCAGTTAAGTAACGTCATGTATTCAGAAACAATGAAATATATACAGAAACAATGAACAACTTAAAGCAATGGTTACGTGATGTGATCATGTTGATTACAATGCAAGGAAAATTTAGCAGTTTTGTATGTTTATTCAGAGTCAGCTTCATCTGAAGTCCTCTCAAGGGTTAGCGTCATCTCTTCACAGGTGTTGGGTCATCTGAAGTCCTCTCAAGGGTTAGCGTCATCTATTCACAGGTGTTGGGTCATCTGAAGTCCTCGTAAGAGGCTGGATATAGATAGCAGGAGCAATCTATAGATTACACCAACAAAATGTGATGGAATCATACTAGGGAACTGGCACTTTTTCACAAAGACACAAAGAGCAGGGAAAGACTTGCCAAAACCAGTGAAGAGACTCATTGTGAGGTTGATGTCTCTTTACAGGGAGTACAAAAAGACGAAGAGCAGGGAAAGACTTACCAAAACCAGTGAAGAGACTCGTTGTGAGGGTGATGTCTCTTTACAGGGAGTCTTCAGGTAGTTCTTGTTCTGAAAGCAAGATAGCGAAGGAGAAAATCACAGGAAAAATGGTTAAGTGATGCTCCATCACATTGCAGTCCTGTGGCATCACTGCTCAGTCTGTTCCTTCAACACAGTACTTCTTTAGTAGCTAAGACGTTTAAGTATAAAATACAGTAATAATGTACAGGTTTACTGTGATATATATATATATAATATAGTTGTATATAATACATTTTTTGGGAAATTTAGCCTAGCATGATTCTGAAATTAAAACTGCTCGTCTATTTCAAACTTTTCATTCTCACTTAGGTCCATCTGCATCCTTTTCAATATATCCAAGTCTATTAAATAACTCCCCACCAGCAAAATCACTTTTAAAAGCCTTAATTACACAACGATGGATGAAACTGCATGAAGAGAATGAATAACATCCCGTAAATCTACTAATTAAGTGAGGAATAATCTAATAATAATCTGTTTTAATGCACAGGGTAATTTGATTAGCTGTGCTGATAATATACAATTTTGTTCTATAAATGTCGTACCTTTTAAAAGTTCATCACAACGGTCTCTTCTGCTGCATCTCTACGGCGCTGATAGTATGAGCGCTAACTTCCGGGAACTATTGAGCGGCTCCACGATCCGCCATTGCTGTAAAAAACTGGTCCATTGGAGTGAACGGAGTTGTCGCAACTCTCTCTCTCTCTGGCTCTGTCCAAGACAAGGTTATAATAAATGTAAACTTTTTTTAGCCTTTAATTACGACTTCTCATTTTAAGTATTGAAAGGTTAAATTTCAAATTAGGGCTACAATTAATTATTTTTCTATGTTTTGAGTACAAGTTTTTGTGTGTCATTACCATATGTTTTTTTTTTCTTTTTGATTTGACTTCTAGATAACTTGTTGTGTAGTGTATAGGCAGTGTTGTTATTAACTAAACCTAAAACTATTTAATGTTCATGTTATGTTCATTGTTCATGTTAATTGAAATAAAGCTATGATAAAATATAAATGTAAATATTAGATGAAAAACATAAATGAATAAAAAGGAACATTAAAAACACTGCCTGGCAACTAACAAAAAATAAATGTATGTTGATGTACTAAAATAGGCTAAATGAAATAAAAACAAATGAAAGCTAAATAGAAATATATATTTAAAATTACTAAAAATTGAATCTATAAAAATCTAAAAAGCCTAATAATAATAATAATAATACATATAAATAATTTATACTAAAATAGCACTGGTGTTAGGAAACCCAAGGCATACCTGATCTTTTCTTTAAAAATATGTAATTTGCATGACAGTGTTGATCAAGATGTATTTTATATGTTATTGTTTCTTTTTTTTTTTTTTTTTTGCCCTTTTAGTGTCTGTTGAAAACAGATTAATTTCATTTCTATTTCACTTTAATAACATAAATAAACAAAACTGACTTTATTAACCACATAAGTCAGTTAAGATAGGGGTTCTGTGATAGACGTCTGCTGATTACGTCTTTAATTGATTTTTCCGTACATTTCTGCCATATGTACATTAACTGACAGTATTGAATTGAATTGAATTGAATTGAATTGAATTGAATTGAATTGAATTGAATTGAATTGAATTGAATTGAATTGAATTGAATTGAATTATGTGGGTGTGCAGTCATTTATCATATTTAATAATAATACGGTAATAAGATGCCACATCAAGATCAAATATGTACTGTAGGTCTGCTCTGTAGACTTGTGCTGGAAAACTGACCCTTGTTTGTTGTTATATCAAAACAAGCTCTACATGAAAACAAGATCAGCAATGCATGTGGCTCAAGATCATGTACTAACCAGTAATCACCAAGCTGGGGCGCCACAGGCTAATTATACTGTAAATTGATTTTTTTTTTATCTCGTCAAACGCTGATGGTTTCTGTCAGGTAAAGTACGGCTGTGATTCTCAACCTTTTTTACTTGAAGGCCCCAACCGCCAAGTTGTCCAACTCAGTATTCAAAACAAAAATAGACTAAGATATTTTAAGTATTTCTAATATTTATGCTACAATTGCGACAAAGCTGCTTGTTTTTAAAATAGTTATCAAAAGAAACAGAAAGTGTTAATATATTACATTTATTAAACACACAAATCATTTAGTGATTCCACAAGTTTTAAGAACTGTTTGTTCTTCAATTAAAACCATAACCATTGGGGGTCATTCATAAGGTCCCACTAGTTAACATTAGTTAATGCAATAACTGACATTAACTAACAACAGCAATACATTTGTTACTTTACATTTGTTAGCAATATCTTTGTTAATGTTATTTCATAAAAATACAACTCTTTATTATTAGTTCATGTCAGTTCATGTCCATTAAAGGGGTCATATGATGCGATTTCAATTTTTCCTTTCTCTTTGGAGTGTTACAAGCTCTTGGTGCATAAAGAAGATCTGTAAAGTTGCAAAGACTAAAGTCTCAAATCCAAAGAGATATTCTTAAAAAAAGTTAAGAGTCAGCCAAGCCCCCCTAAAACGGCTCGTTCTAACACGCCCCCACATATCTACATCACGATGTGAAAATATTAGCATAATGCCGCCCAAATGTGCACGCAAAGAAAGAAGGTGTGGTTTCAGGAACAGCAGTAGTGTTGATGCAGCCATGTCAGGGAGAGGCTGTGTGATTCAGTGCGAAAGCAAAAGCACTTTATTTGGCCTTCCGGAAGTAGATGCAATTAGGAATCATTGGTTAAGATTTATTTACAACAGAACAGCACAACCCAGATGTTCGAATTTGTGCAACGCATTTTATGGACAACAGTTTTTTGAACCTAGAAGAGTACAAGGCTGGCTGTGCACAAA